AGGGACCCGTACTATCCAAGGTGTTTCGGGTGTTTCCTGGGACGGATCTCAGAACGTATTCCCCACAAATAAAAGAGGACAATTATAATGATTATAATTGCTTTATTTTATAGCTTATTACCCAAGTATGAATTCTCAACCTATATAAATTAATTTTGACTATTTTTGAAATGTATTTAAATGGAGTATTTCTAAGTGTGTGTGTTTACATCTACATAGATTCACTCAAAATTAGGTACATAAAATCAATTCATGTGCTTGTAACGTGGCTGTTGTTCTTTACTTTTTTCTTGGTGTACAGTGTTCATGTATGAATATACCATGATTTAGTTATCCATTCTATTATTAATGAGTATTTGGGTTGCTTCCAATGAGGAGCTATTTAAGTTAATACTGCTTTGAACACCCTGGGGCACGTCTTCCTGTGAACATGCCACACATTCCGGTAGCATATATTATTAGAAGAACTTCTAAGTCATAGGACATGCAGACTGACATCTTTCCTGGAGAATGCCAACTATATTCATGAAACGGTTGAATCCGTTTACCACCTCCCACCTAGCCAGAAGTATATGAAGTTTTCTATTGCTCCATGTCTCGGCCAGCTCCTCTTATGGTTAGAATTGTATTTTACCAGGCTGAGGATTTGGCTCGCTGGTTCCGCTGCCTGCTTTGCAAGCGCAAGGTCACAAGTTCGATGCCTGGAAACAAAAATAAATAAAATAAGATATTCTCAAAAAAAAAAAGAATTGTAGTTTTTCCCAGCCTGATGGGTCTGCAGTCATATCCCATGGAGGCGTTCACTTGCATGATCTTGATTGTCAATGAGTCTAAATGCCTTTACACATATCTATTGGTCATTTGGATATTTGCTTTTATGCATTATCTGTTCTTATCTTTGCATTTTCTATTAGGCTGCCTCTCTTTTCCCCCTTACTGAATTGTAGAATTTCTTTTTATATTTGGACTAGGAGCCCTTTGCCTATTAGATATGATGTTTCAGAGGTGTTCTCCCTCTCTGCGATTTTCATGCCCCCCCCGCCTCTCTTTTTGTACCAGAGATGGAACTCAGGACCTTGTGCTTGCAAGGCAGGCAGTGGCGCCACTGAGCTAAATTCCCCAGCCCTCATTTTCCTTCTCTTATTGTGACTTAATGCTTCTTCTGACACATGAGACAAATTTAATAATCTTTCTTTTTCCTGTGTCCCATTGAAAAATATATTTTGCTGACTCATGGTCATAAAGATATTCTCCTAGGTTATCTTTAGAAAAGCCTTACTGACAAAAAAAAAAAAAAAAAGCCTCACTTGCCGTTGAGATCTATTTTCCACCTAAAATTGACTTTTAATTATGTAAATTATGGATCTGGTTTTTTTTAATTTTTCTTCCCCTTCCTTCTGTACCCCCTTCCTGCTTCTTCTGCTCTTTCATTTTAAGCTCATTTGTCTTTGTGTCTTCTATTGAAAAGATGCTAAATGGATGAACATTGAGGCCACACTCTTATGTGAAATAAATAGGACACACATGTAAATACCGAATAGTTTCTCTAGTGTGAGAAAATGAAAGTGTAAATAAGGACCAAAAGATAATCGATAATGTGAAACAGGAAGAAATGGGGCAAAGGGGAAGGGGAAACAGGGTAGGGGAAAGGAAAGAAGGGAATGGAATTAATATGAGAAAATGAAAAAATGGAAACAAAGCCTTTGTAGATAGAGGGGGTGGAGGGGTTGAAGGGAGGGCAGGGGGATGGGGAAAAAATAAGAACCAAGATGGATTATGTAAAGGTGCAAATTTCCAATGATGAATGTCACTACGTTGTATACCTTAAATGTACCAATAAAATTAATTTTAAAAAGAGTCCTTTCCCTACTTGTCCTGGCGATCAATAGATATCACCAATTCATATGCGTACATACATGTCTTGAAGCCTTTGTTACATTCATTTGTCTGCCTATCCTTGAATCAAAATTACACTGCATGTTATTAATGCTCCTGAGTCCTAGTACCAAGTAGAGCCAGTCTTCCCACACTGGTCATCTTGAATCGGAGCATCTTGGTTACACCCAACCTCATGCATTTCCACGTACTTTCTGGAGTTAGCTTGTCGAGCTTTACACACAGAGAGAAAAACAACCTTTCTACTTTTGCTGAGAACTACAGTAAACCCCTACAGTCATTTAACAGGGTATTTTTTAATACTGGATCATCAACTCCATAAACTTGATACATTTACTTAAATTGCTTTTACTTTCTTTTGAGTTTTATCATTTTCTTCACCAATCTTGCAACGTTTTAGATTTATACCTAAGTGTATGGCTTACACTATTTTGAAGGACACATTTCATTTTTTTTCTAAATGTTGGTCACTAATGTATAGAAATGTGATTTCTATTTTGATTTTTGTTTTCACTGCTACATTTTTATTATAAATTATAATCATGTATTCACAGGTTCTTTGGGATCTTCTCAAAATTATTAAATAGTGAGAGCTTTGTTTCTTTCTTTACAATCCTTGCATAGTTGGCCCTCAATACCTGTGGGTTCCACTTCTATGAATTCAACAAGCTACAGATCAAAACTACTCAGAAAAATATTTTCATCTATGTTGAAAATGTACAGACTTTTTTCTTGCTGTTTTCTCCTCGCTGACGCAGTATGTAACATCTATTTATACAGCATGTACATTGCATCAGGTATTACAAGTAATCTAAGGTGATTTAGAGTACTGGGAGAAAAAAAAAGAGTTAAAGGAGGATGTGCATAGATGATATGAAAATGCTATGCTACTTTATAGAAGGGACCTGCAAACACTGACACCTGTAGGGCATTCGAGAACCGTTTTCCTCCACACAGTAACAGACTACTATACATTTCTCACTGCTCTCAGACGCAGCTAAAATTATGAATGGAAATAAGAGACTGGACATTCTTGTATTTTCCCTAAGTGCCTCACTTGTATCCATGGGATCTGAATCTATGGAGGGAACAGCACAGAGGGGTTAGTGCCACTGAAAGAATAATGCATTTCCCAAGAGAAGGGGACACAACATGCCACCCAGGGCAACCTAGGGAGCACCAAGTTTGGCCAGGAGACAGCAGCAGGAGCAAGAGGAAAGCTTAAGCCAGAGCCTGCATTGGGGTTTCCTCAGGAAAAGCGAGTCAGAGTAGTGGAGACTACTTAGCATGAGCTACGTGTGGCTCTGTGGTACAGCACAGGCTTAGCACTTATGAAGCCCTGGGTTCCGTCCTTAGCATACACATACACACACACACACACACACACACAATAGTCCCTTCGAGGGCCGGGGATTTAGCTCAGTGGTTCCAGCACCTGCCTTGCAAGCACAAGGACCCAAGTATCAAAAAGAAGGAAAGAAAGAAAAAAAAAGAAAGAAAGAGCTCCTTTGAATAATAAATGGAAGGCTTTGGCCTAAAGAGGGCTCTCTAGCTGCCTGGTACCTGACCCTGGGACCATGGAGAGCAGGTGAAATATGCTTGGCATGTGAGTTAGATGGAGGGGTTGCCTTCATCTGCATCTTGCGTGTTCCCCAAAGGGCACATACGTTGAGGGCTTAGTCTCCAGGCTGTAGTGCTACTGGGAGGTGATGGAACTTTGAGGAAGTGGGGCCCAGGGGAAGTTTGATCATTAGCTACCTGCCTTGGAGGAGATGTTGGACCCAACTCCTTCCTGCTGCTCTCTCTTTGCTTCCTGCTGCTATGAGGTAAATGTCTCGCCCATCCGCCACCTGCCCCAGCCATGGTGTGCTGTCCACCGTGGGACCCAAAGGACCAATCAACAAAAATGGTCTCTCCAAAACTGTGAGCCAAAATGCTTTCTCTGTATAAATTAATTAGTTCAGGTATTTTGTCATAGTAACAGAAAACTAACACAGCTAAGAAAGAGTCCATAAAACACAGGCTTCTTCCCCCCCCCCTTAATTGATTGGGAGAACTCTCCAGGTAAGCCAATCAAGTTTAAACTCTTCTTTGTAGGAAGAAATTCAACTCAGGAATTTCATTTCTTTAATCGTGGTAGAATTATTTGGATTTTTTTTTTCTTTTCTTTTTTGGTACTGGGGATTGAACTCAGGACCTTGAGCTTGCGAGGCAGGCAGCAGAACTACTGAACTAAATCCCCAGCCCTTTTTTCTTTTTTCTTTTTTTAAGTTAGCTTTAGTAAGTTGGTAAGTTTGGTTTGGTTTGGAAAATGTATGGCTTTTTCTAGAAATCTAAATATTTCAACTCAATTCAATTTGTGTGTGTGCATGTGTGTGTGTCTACCAGGGATCGAACTCAGGACCCTGAGCTTGTGAGGCAGGTACAGCACCACTGAGCTAAATCCCTGGCCCAATTCAATTTTTTTTTAACATAAAGTAGTTTACATTATCCTCCTGCAATCATTTCAATGTTTGTATGATTGGCAGTCTTCACTCTCAATCTCTTTTTCTTGATAAATTCTATCCAAAGTTAATTGATTTTATTAGACTTCAAACAACTATGATTTTGGCTTTGTTAATCCATTCTACTGAATGTTTATTTTCTATAACATTAATTCATGTCCTCATCTGTTTTACTTCCTCCCTTATAATTTCTATGGATTCACTTTTCTGTTCTTTCCTAATTTTATGATATCAAAGTATTGCTAAATAACTTTCAGCCATTTTTTCTTAATATATACACTTAAGACAAAATTTCTGCAAAATATTCATCTAACCCAAACTTAATAAATCTAATTTGTAATATTTACATTGTTATTCAAGTAAAAAATATTTTCTAACTTCCCTTGTGACTTCTTAGACCCAGTATAGATGTGTACTGATTAAATTCTAAAGAGAGATTTTCTAAGTTTATCTTTTATTATTGATTTCTAGTAAAAATATATTGCATAAGAGACTATAGCCTGTATGATGTCAGCTCCCTTAAGTTTGTTAAAACTTTAGCTACAGTTTCAGTATATTGTTGATTTTTAAAAAAAAAACAATGTGCACTGTGCAGTAGCTGATGTACTTATTCTAAATGTGTTTATTTGGTCAAATGTGCTAATTTTTCAAATCATTTTCACATTTCTTTTTTTGTCATCATGCTTACCAGAGAGTGAGAGGGTATACTGAAATCTTCCCTGCGACAGTGAATTTGTTTCTCCTTGTATCTCTCCCTCGTTTTGCCCTCTATATTGACATCATCAAATTAAGTGAAAGCAGGGCCGGGGATTCAGCTCAGCGGCTCGGTGGCCTGCCTTGCAAGCACAAGGACCCAAGTTCAATCCCCAGTAAAAAAAAAAAAAAAATTAAGTGAAAGCAAACGTAGGACTGCTATATCTTCCTGATAAGTTGAACCTTCTTCTATCATCATGAAATAAAGTCCTTTCATTCTACTAATGCTTTCTTCTGAAATTCTGTTTTTTATCTTCTGCTCATGTAGCTTCTCTAGTTTTAAAATGATTTCTCTCTTTCTGTATCTTATATGATCTCTATCCTTTACCATGTTTAAAAATTACATACACACACACATATATAGTCATACATATAGTTTTCTCAGTAATTGTCTGTTGGCTGTATATAGTCCCTTTTGTTGCTCTCCTCCCTTGCCTTCTTTAAAGTGATTGCTTGGTTTTGTTTTATCTTCTTTTTTTTTTTTTTTTTTTTTTTTGAGGCAATTTTAGTTCAGGCTGGCCCTGAACTCACTATGTAGCCCAGGTCAACCTTGAATTCTTGGCAATCCCCCTGCCTGGTCCTCCCAAGTGCTGGAATTACAGGCATGAGCCACTACGCCCAGCTTTAAATTTTACTTTACTTTGACCGGATTTTACTAAACAGCCCGGGCTCTCTTCAAACTTGTCATCCTTCTGCCTCCGCCTCTCAAGCAGCTGTGATTAAAGGCATGTACCACCCAACCTGGACTTGTTTTGTCCTGTTTTTGTCCTATTTTCCTTATTTGTTGGAATGATATACATGCACTTAGATTTCCCAGTGAATCTTTAACCTATAAAACCTAATGTGAGTTCTACAATCACTGTAGGATAAATTAAGAGCCATGGTAGTGTTATAATCTCACAGATGTCATTTTCATTTGTTTCCTTTAAGAAATCTGGAGGCACTCTCAGTCAGATCTCCTTGCTTGGGATTTTCTAGATGTTCATGTGGTTGGAAAGGTGTAGACCAGACAAGAACTAATTAATTTACCTCTCTTCATCTTTATGCTACATTTCCAGGCAAGAAGTAGAGGCAGGGTGTTATTTATGAGGACACACATCCTTCACCTGCTCTGCATCCAGAGATCACCCCTCCCTTGGCTTCACACCTGCCTCCTCTAAATCAGCAACGAAAGTGACCAAGTGGTATATTCGCCCATCTGAGCTCCCACTTCCTGCTAGATTTCAGTCCACTTAATCCCTCACTGTGTTGTTAACTCTGACGCTTTTCAGAAAAGAAAAATATAATATGTTTCACTGGGTAATGTGGCAGAGCGATTGCACTCGGTGCTGCACTGAAGTTCCTGCAGCTACTTGTCACCTGGTCACCCTCTTCACCAGCACCACAGCCAGGAGATGCAGCCCTGCTGTAAGGGAGTTGATATTCTATTGGGTGAAACATGATACACAAGTAAACATATCTGTCCAGATTGAGGGGGTGGGCGATACACTCCGGGCAAAGAGCTTCGTAAGCAGCTTCCTGTGGCGGGAGGACGTCGGGTCTAAGAACCATCGCCAGGTAGCAAAGGGGTCCCAGAGATAAGGTCGGCATGGCCAAGGCCACCATCAGTGAACAGGGTGCTCTTCGTGTGGAGAGATTGAAAATGACGTGCGTTTGTGTTACAATATTCTGGAAGCTTGGTGGAAAACAGCCTGTAGATATTTTCTCTGATTATGACTTAACATACTCCAATCAATTCCTTTTCACCCCCAAATTAGCAATAGACACAGCACAGACACAACAACGGCAGCAACAACAGCAAAGTCAACTTCCAAAGCTGGAAAGGAGGCTGCAGAAGCGTGAGCTATTCCATTAGGTTCCGTGACAGACCGTGAGGACTCTTGTTCATATCCCAGGTAGGAAGCCAGCAGCCCCGACTTCCGACTTCCGACTTCCGCTGCTCTCCCAGGGCTCCCTCCCAGTGGGCTGGCTGCTTCTGTGATGGGCAACACCCACAGCGAGAGACCGAGCCAGGTGCCACTAGCCCCGCCCCGGCTGCTCTGGGACCAGTCACTCCCCGAAACCATCAAAGTCCTGTGTGCACCAAGCATCACCCGTCCTGATCTACCCGTCCCTCGGGCCCAGTGAGCCTGGGGTGTCCTCTGCCAAAGAGTCCATTGATGTCTCCTCTGTTGCTTGAAACGTCCTCTGGATGAGAAGAGATTGGCTGTGGCTCCAGGGATCAAGTCACAAATGACAGCTGCAGAGAACACACTGACAGACTAACAGAGGACTTAGAGTCCTGTTTTATACATGTTTCATTAGTGTGTGTTTGCGATGTGTAATAATTATATCTGCCTGTGCCCGTATGTACCGCATGAGCATCATCGTCCCGCCACTGCTCTCCCCCTCCCTCCTACCCTTCATCTCCTCTCCACCCGCACAGCCTACCTTCCTGTTTCCCACCATTTCTTCTATTTCAGAGCAGTTCCCACAGCACCTGAAAAATGAAGTAGGAAGAAAGTGATCAGAACAGAAATGGAAGGCACATGTTCATGGATTAAGTACGTGAACAGATGTTAAAACACGTATCCCCAAATGGGTCAAGAAGCCAAAGTAGGTATGGTAACACTTCATTTCTTCAAAATCCTGTCCCGCTATTTCAGCTATCCACAATACAGACCAGATAGACAGTACACAGAAAACATCCAAGGAGTTAAACAGTTTGTTTACTAGGCCTCCTATCTCTGTCTCCTATCTCTATCTCCTATCTCTGTGGAGAGCACAGAGAATAACTGGGGGTGGAATCAGAGCCTTGACCACGCTAGGCATACTCTCTACCACTGAGCTACACCCCCGCGTTGTCTCTTTTATTTGAGACATCGTCTCACTAAGTTATCTAGGATGGCCTTGAATTTGAGATCCTCCTGGCTCAGCCTACACCATATTGGGATAGGAAATACCCTTGCCCATTTTTTTTAAAGTGTCTCCTTTCTCTTGGGTCATTCCTACTGTACTCAGTTCCTTTCTTATTTTCTCTTAGTTAAACATATTACACTGACATCAGAGATCAGAGATGGGTTAGCAGAGGAAATACATAAGAAGCAACTAGAAGTAACACTCTGTTAGCTGGAGGCCAGAGTGAACATTTGAAAAGAAGTTTGGATCTACTTTGCCTCTGAGCAACTGGTGCCACAATTTTCAGTCAAGCCTTTATGGTATTGTATCATAGAAGAAGTACATAGTTATTTCCTATAAAAAAAATCAACAAAAAAGTTGTATTTCTTTTTTGAAATGGGCAAGAATAATGCATTACATCATAGGAAAAGTCCCACTAAAACACAGGAAAGATGCATGTTGAGACATGAGGGCAGATAGATGTGTAACTGAATCTATTCCAACCATTTTTTTTACTATTCATGTTGTGCGCATAATCCAAAAATCCAAAATCCAAAATGCTCCAAAATCTGAAACTTTTCAAACACCAACATTATGCCACAAGTGCACATCTCATGACCTCACATGATGGGCCCAGTCAAAATGCAGGTACATTAAAAATATATAAAATGACCTCAGGCTAGATGCATGAGTTAGATAGGAAATACAGATTAATTTCATATTTAGACTTGAGTCTCTTCCCCAGAACAACTCATTCTGTATATACAAATATTCCAAAATCTTAAAAAAAAAATACAAAATCTGAAACCCTTTCTAGACCAAAGTGATCCAGACAAAAAAAACTGCAATAATTTTTTCTTCTCATCACAGGTAACACTTTAAGAGACCCCACGACGGTATGGTTAAGAACCAGGGTCCTGAAATCAGACCTAGATTTCTATGAAGCAGCTGTGTGATACTGGACAAGTTACTTAGCTCACTTAAGACCGGATTCCTGGTTTCTGAAATAATCACTATGTCCCTCAGAGAGTTGGTGTGGGGATTGAATAAGATGAACCATGTGGGGCACTTGTGCCACGCAGTAATTGCTCCATAAATGGAAGCTCTTAGTTCTGCTATGCTTGTTTTCTCTGTGACAGTTGTCATTACACAGCTCAGGCTGGCTCTGAACTCGCTGTGTAGCCTAGGCTCGCCTCCAACTTGAGATTCTCATGCCTCAGCCACTCAAGTACGGGGACATTTCTACTATCTTACTGCTAGAGACAGAACCACCCAACTACTATTACTACAGACTCTGCAGCCAAAATGCCATTGTTCAGACTTGTTTAGTCTATGTCCACCCCCACCCTGAACACACCTGACTTCACCTGATCTCAGAATTCAAGGTTCAGATCTTGGCTTGGCTGCTTACTTCTCCATCTGACCTTGAGCAAGTTACTAAGGCTTTCTGTGCCTCCGTTTCCTGTTCTTTAAAGTGGGGATGGTGATTAAACTTCCCTCACAGGCTGCAGGGAGGACTAAGTGCGTTAGCGCACAAATGCTGAGCTCAGGGCCTGGCACACAGGAAGAGCTTTATGAATGCTGACCGCCGTGGCTGTTAAGGACCGACCATATCAGTATTCTAAGTCTTTCTCCTCCTTTGATTTAGCCATGATTTCCTGGCTCTGGGCTCCCCTAGAAATATTATATAAAGTGCTTTTATATGCATCACCCCAAACTAGTCTTCCGATGTCCTGTGATACAGACGGACAGAGAACCTGGTATGAATGTATAGAATCTTCACATGAATAGTTCTTCAAGCAAATGTTTAGCTAAATCCTAGTATCAAGCCATGCAAGTGTTACATCATGTTATAATAAATTTGAAAAAAAGGAAAGATACTGATGCTGTATCACTGCAGAAAAAGTTTCACTGTCTCTGTAATTCATAGGGGGTACAACTAAGGTCCAGCATAGTGAAATCAGTTTAAATAGATGTAATTCTGTCCCTTTACATAAGGTGGCACCAAAGGATGTCCAAATAGGAAGTTTTATGAATTGGACGGTGTTTGAGCTCCCCAGAAGTCTAGGAATTCGAGCAAGACTTCTAAAATAAATCTAAAGTAAGTCTATCTTCATGGACAGCCAGGAGGAGCCATCGCTGTCAGCAGCTTCTCTGAACTTTTTGAAATTCTGAAATTGCATTATGTTGGGTAAGACCAGGAAAGATCCCTTAAAGTATCTAAACATAAACTGCCATTTTACAGAGTCTATGTCTGCAGTGTGTTTGATTTCTGACCTGAAGTGCTGTTTTCTGTTCAGCACAAACAAAACAAAATAGAACAAAACCTGCAAAAACAAGCAAATGAGAGCAAGAGAGAAATTCTCCAGAGGTAGGATAGCTTTGTGGCACATTGCAATGGGAGTACAGATACCACTGTAAATGGGTGTATTCAGAGAGGTTGAAACAAGAGGTTTGTAAAGACGAAAATGAAGAAGTCAGATATTTTGAAACAATAAGCCTTGGCCTCAGTGATCAGTAACAAGAGCAGCACCAACAGAGGAAGATGCCCTTGTAGAATTACACACACACACACACACACACACACACACACACACACATGCACATATGCACAGATCAAACCCGTGGCCTCCCGGACTGGGCAACTGCTCCATTGCTAAATTCACAGCATTGTCAGTATTTTATTCATCCTTAACCAAACAATAATATCTACCTAAACTGTATTACTTTAAAATGTTTCACGATTGGAGTTCTATGGCACTTGGCACTGCCAGACTATACATTTTAAAATGGTTAATTTGGTAAATTTTATGTTGTATATCTCCACAATTAAATTTTTTCAAAAAGATAAAAGAAAACAAACCAAAGAAGTGCTCTGCCCTTCACAGTTTGATGCATGGAGTTCAGGTTAATTAAAACAGAGAAGCCATGGAAAATGGGCCAGTAAACCAGCTCATGCTGAGATAAGAAAATAATAAAATAACCTCAGGACTCGGACTGGCTGGAGAAAGAAGCTCCTGGAGCCTAGTGCTGAATACAACCAGGTAGGTGAGCGCGAAGGTTGAAGGCAGGCAGACCTTCAACAGCAGCCTCCAACCCCGAGCACTTCCTGGAAGGTCAGGTGGAGAAGAAAGGCTGGAAAAGCTCTGGGTCGGTCTTGACGCAGCGGGCTGACTGCGTGTCTAGTGTGGGGAGGGAACGGGAACTAGCTGCAGCCCGTCTGGGGCTCCATCAGGATTTCCGGCTGGGTGGAGTTGAGGGGTGGCTTTTCGGTTGGCTTGGTTGGTTTTTCTGAGGGACTTTACCTGCTGGAATCAGACCAGAGCGAGGTGGCAAAGCGCGAGTGAGGCTCCAGAGGCCGACCACGCAGCTGCAAGCCCCGGCGCTGCACTTGCCAGGTGTGTGGCCAGCTTCGCACGTCACTTCCCCTTCCTGTGCCACTGTCCCGCTCTGTGAGTGGGGACGGCCGCCGTGATAGTAGTGCGGATCTCACGGTACTGGTGAATAAACCGAAGGGATTAATAATATGGTGGCACTTGACATACAGAAAGCACCCAGTAACTTTTAGGGTTAGTAGAGTCTGGGGGACCCTGAAAGTCAGCCTGGAAAGTGAGGGTGGCCAGCAGCAGGGAGACACAGGAAGAGAGGGCGACACCGAAGGCACAGTGGAAGATCAACGTGTTGACCCAGCAGACTCGGGGGACAGGGGCAAAGGGAGACTCAGGGAATTGGGCTGGAAGTGGCAAGGTTTGGTCTGAGAAGACGGCATAGGGGCGACGAATGTGACAGATGGAGTGGTTGCCATGCAAAGCGAAGGCAGAGCATTTAGAAGCGGGAAGAGCAGCCTGCTACGGGCAGGTGACCTGCACCTGGCTGAGGTAACCCAGGAGTCACTAAGCCAGCCCCATCTTCAGTTATTCCTCTCAGCCTGAGGAACATCTTTGCTGCCTCCCTCACAGGTTACTGCGAAGCCCTAAAGGGAGAGGATGCACAAAAATGCTTCTAAAACAAGAAAGTTCTGGCTGGACACACTGAAGCATCCTTGTGGTCCCAGATATTCAGGAGGCTGAGGCAGGAGAATCCCTAAAGCCCAGGAATTCAAGACCAACCTGGGGAACATAGCAAGACTCTACTACCTCAAAAGCAAACAAACTGAACTAAGCCAATAAAGTTCTAGATGGATATTATTGTTCTTTTATTAGAAAAATAAATAAATGAAATGCCTCCAAGATGAATTCAGCCAACTGGAAAGTACTGACAAAACTTTCTAACAAAATAAGCAATTAGGGAGGCTGAAATTTCAGGACACACTTACAGGTGAGCAAAATCAAATTTGGAATGTGAGGTAGAAATGTTTAGAAGACTAAATCTACAGAACTAGGTTTTAAATGTTTGATATTTATTTATACTGATAATAAATGAACATTTTAAACTTCACTATAAAAATAACACAACCAAAATATTCAATAGAGATCAACAATATGGAGAGATGAATACTATAAAAGGACCAAGCAAAATATGGAAAGAACTAATCTCTTAATTATTAACCTGGAAATTAATAAGATCATCAAAAATGAAGGTAGCAGAATAGTCCCCCAAAAT